TCAATGTCTGTTTTCTGCACTTGTATTTTGTAACATTCTCCATAAAGGTCTTGCACAGCTAGTTTTTACTGCTACTATGGTACTTTCTTTGTTTGTGTTTCCTAATTGGTTATTGCCAGGCACAGGAACATTATGGACTATTCCCTATATACGTTCATCTTGTATCCAGGAGTCCTGCTGGACTTTTATCAGTTTTCAAGGTTTCTTGAAACTCTTGGACTTTCTATGCCAACAATCATAACACCAGCAAGGAATCACAGTTCCCCTACTGTTGTTACACTGCTCACTGCTTTTTTTTTTTCTTGTCTTATTGAATTGGCAATGACCTCAAGCCAAATGCTGAATAACAGACCAATTTCTGGCTCTTCTTTTCCATTAACTCTAATGGCAATAATTTAAATATTTTAACATTGAATATAATATCTGAAGGCTCAAGAGAAGTTCAGTGGTTAAAAGTATGTGTTGGTCTTGCAGAAGACCCACATGTTAGCTCACAACTCTCTGTAACTCCAATTCCAAGAGATCCAATGCCCTGTTCTGGACTCTGAGGACGCTTGTACTCACACATGCACATCATATATACATAGTTAGAGATAAATATCTTTAAAATTATTTTATCTGCTATGAGGGTTTCTGTTTACTTTTTGGTGGTAGGCATGACCTACAGCCTTGTGAAAGTGCTTCACCTCTAAGCTATACTCCAAGCCCTATGAAGAGTGTTTAATAGACATTTTTACTAAACTCAAGTAGTTCTGTTTTATTTTCAGTTTGTATCATAAATAAACATAACACCAAATTATTTTTATTATTTTTATTTTATGTGAGTGTACTACATGCATACCTGGTGTCTTCAGAGGTCAGAAGAGGACATCTGACCTCCAGGAACTGGAGTTACAGACAGTTACGTCTGTGCTGGGAACTTAATCCAGGACCCATGGAAGAGCAGCCAGTGATGTCAGCTTCTGTGCCGTCTCTCCAGCCCATAAACATGATTTCATATTACAAGTTTTTCTTCACCTTCGGAGACAGATATTTCCTGCTTCCTCATCTCTCTCCCAGTCCCACTACGTGTCTCAGGCTGGCCTCAACCTCAAGATCCTCCTGCCTCAGTCTCCCAAGTGCGTCTGTACTTCTTCCTAAATGCTTTTCTAAAATCTGTGCTTTCGGGCCTGGGCTAATCTCAGCCTGGTTCTGATGTACATATTTTAAAAGCACATCACACTGAATTTATTCCACTCATATTTTACTTAAGATCCTGAATCTATGTTTAAAAGTGGAATTGTTTGTAATTTTATTTTCATGTGCCGTCTCCATCCAGCTGGCAAACTAGTCATGCCTCCCTCCTAAAATAAGTGAAATCTGCCTTTTATGTTATTTTAAAATGTGTGCAACTCTAAGGTTTAACATTCATCACCATAAGCTCCTACGTTGTCTGGTCTGATGGATTGTGCATGTCCATAGGCCCACTCCTTTGTTCCCACGGCTTGTGGCTTTGTTTTTGCTTTGACTGGACTTGCTGGAAGCTTCTTTATTTTGTTTAGTCTTAAAGGATTAGGCACTTGATTGTTGGGGGTTTCAGGGAGCCCAATACATGCTGTCTTCTTCTTCTTCTTCTTCTTCTTCTTCTTCTTCTTCTTCTTCTTCTTCTTCTTCTTCTCCTCCTCCTCCTCCTCCTCCTCCTCCTCCTCCTCCTCCTCCTCCTCCTTCTTCTTCTTCTTCTTCTTCTCCTTGTCCTTCTCCTTGTCCTTCTCCTTCTCCTTCTCCTTCTTCTTCTTGTAGAATTTGTGTATCATTTAAGAATTAAGACAATGGGTCATCAAGATGGCTCAGCAGGTATACTTGCCAGGGTTCTCTAGAGGAACAGAACTTACAGAACTCTCTCTCTCTCTAGTTCTAATATAGATATGATATAGATATGGATATGATACAGGTATAGATACAGATATGTGTGTATGAATGTTATACAGGCTGTGGTCTAGCTAGTCCAACAATGGCTGTCTCCCAATGGAAGGTCCAAGAATCCAGTAGGTGTCAGTCCCTGAGGCTGACTGTCTCGGCTGGTCCTCCGTACATAACTGGCTCTTGAAGTGGACTCTAATGCCAGTGAAGGAATGGACTTGACAGCAAGAACGAGAGCGAGCAGGCAGAGAGAACAAGCGTCCTTCTTCCATGTCCTTTCTATAGGCGGCCAGCAGAAGGTGTGGCCCAGATTAAAGTGGATCTTCCCACCTCAGAAGATCTGGATTAAAAGTGGGTCTTCCTTGTCCCTGTCCCTCATTAGCTGCAGCACTCGGGAGAGTGGCCCCTACCCCTCACCTGGGCAACACGGTAGAGCTGTCCCTGAAGGTGTAGGTGTGGGAGAACCGACCCTGAGGATGTGAAAGCAGGAGAGCTGGAGAACTGGCCCCGCCCCTCCCTGAAAGGGGTGAACTGGCCAGGGCAATGCTAGAGAGCTCCCCCTGGTGGTTGGGAGACAGGGAGAGCTGGCAGGCTCTCCCTAAACAACATCCACCCTATCTGTGATCTGCTGGAGCGCAGGGGGTGGGGGTTAGGGGGGGTGGGGGTCAGGAGTCGGGGGCATGTAGTGGTCAGGGGTGGGGGTTCTGCAGACCCAGGGCCGCATGATCTCCACTACAGGGCAGCAATGAGATGTCCAGGAAGAGTCCCAGTGAGGGTCCAGCGTTGATGGTGTAGCAGAGACCAGGGGCCTCAAACCAGACCAATGAGCACGTTCATGTAAAGATGTATGGATAAGGGGTTTACTGTGTGACTCACTGAGTCACACTGCAGCTTCCATGAGGAGATTTTCCTTTTCTTTCTTTTTTTTTCTCTAAAATTTGATTTTGCTTTATTGTGTTGGGAGAAATGGGGTGGGATCGGGAGGCGTGATGTGAAAGACACAAGAATAAATAAAAAGGAAGTTAAAAAAAGTGTGTCTTCCTACTTCGATGATTTAATTAAGAAAAAAGTCCTTCACAGATGTACCCAGCCACTTGGATTTTAGTTAATTCCAGATGTAGCCAAGTTGACAACCAATAAAAGCCACCGCAGAGATAAAGGCACTTGCTGCTGATCCTGATGACTCAAGTTTGATCCCTGGAACCCACGTGGTGAAGAGAGAACCATCTCTCTCCTACAGGTTGACCTCTGACTTCCACACATGTACCCAGGGCAGGGAAACTGCCACCCACTCCTGTCCTTTGGAGACCTCGCTATGTGCTTGGTTTACTTTGTAGTGGAGAGCAGCAGGGGAGGGGTGCACACTCTCGGGTTGGCAGCAGGGGTGGGGGCACACTCTCGGGTGGGCAGCAGGGGTGGGGGGCACACTCTCGGGTGGGCAGCAGGGGTGGGGGCACACTCTCGGGTGAACAGCAGGGGTGGGGGCACACTCTCGGGTGAACAGCAGGGGTGGGGGCACACTCTCGGGTGGGCAGCAGGGGTGGGGGCACACTCTCGGGTGAACAGCAGGGGTGGGGGCACACTCTCGGGTGGGCAGCAGGGGTGGGGGGCACACTCTCGGGTGGGCAGCAGGGGTGGGGGCACACTCTCGGGTGAACAGCAGGGGTGGGGGCACACTCTCGGGTGAACAGCAGGGGTGGGGGCACACTCTCGGGTGGGCAGCAGGGGTGGGGGCACACTCTCGGGTGAACAGCAGGGGTGGGGGCACACTCTCGGGTGAACAGCAGGGGTGGGGGCACACTCTCGGGTGGGCAGCAGGGGTGGGGGCACACTCTGGTGAGCAGCAGGGGTGGGGTGCACACTCTCGGGTGGGCAGCAGGGGGCACACTCTCGGGTAGGCAGCAGGGGTGGGGTGCACACTCTCGGGTGGGCAGCAGGGGTGGGGGCACACTCTCAGGTGGGCAGCAGGGGTGGGGGCACACTCTCGGGTGGGCAGCAGGGGTGGGGGGCACACTCTCGGGTGGGCAGCAGGGGTGGGGGGCACACTCTCGGGTGGGCAGCAGGGGTGGGGGGCACACTCTCGGGTGGGCAGCAGGGGTGGGGGGCACACTCTCGGGTGAGCAGCAGGGGTAGGGGGCACACTCTCGGGTGGGCAGCAGGGGTGGGGGGCACACTCTCGGGTGGGGTCAGGAAGAAACAAAGCCAGGGGAGGGAGCGGGCAGTCAGGAGGACTGAAGCTCGGTTCCTCTGTCCAATGAGGGGGGCCGCTCCTGTCCCTGCAGATCCTTGATGGCCCCACATGGCCGAGAATCCCAGAGAGAAAACAGTCCACCCCATACCAAATACCTCCATACTTTAAAACCCCCACTTTATTAATAATTCTTTAAAACAAATCTTTATTTCTATTTATTTCTTTTGGTGTGTGTGTCTGCAGCATGTGTGCAGGTGCCTGCAGAGGCCAGAAGAGGACAGTGCGTCCACGGGAGCTGGAGTTACAGTTCGTTGTGAGCCACCCAACATGGTGCCTCAGAACCAAACTCCAGTCCTCTGGAAAGACAGCCAGCACTCTTAACCACTGAACCACCTCTCCGGTTGTTAATTCTTCCGGTTAAAAGGATTTCCTTTAATATTATTTCTTTGTCTTTGATATTTTTCCCAGGTTCTTGGGTTGAACGCTACAGCCTGTTTCCACCCCCTTTTTTCTTAGTATAATAGAGTTAAGGGTGTAAATTTAGAACTACGTCCCCAAGCACTTGAACTGCATCCCACCGCTTTTGAAAAGTGATACTTGGGTAGATGTGTGGTTCTAAATATTTTGTCATTTATTTGCAGGTTCCTTTATGATCACTAGCTATCTAAGGCAGATTTCTCATCTCTAAGTGAGTGGGGTTAAAATGAAAATAAAAACCACTGTGGCTTTCTAGTTTCACTACCATACTGCACCCCCTTAACTCTAAGGTGGGTCCTTCCATGTTTCTGGGCATTTCTCTGATCACCCAAATTGTCTGTTCATATAAGCACTCGGACACAGCATGCACTGTCTGTGTGTTGGTCAACAGTTCTGCATGGTATAACTCAAGCTTGTGAACTGTGTCATTCAGACAGGTGCAGATCTTCTAAAAGCTCTGAACCTGATCCTAAAACCAGGTGTGTGTGGCACTCTGGTCATCCAGTACTGGGAAAACTGGAGCAGAAAACGAGAGTCTGAGGTAAGCTGGGGCTGTGTAGGGAGAGCTTTTCTCTATCCCCACTCTAGGCTGAGTGGGAAAGAACTTGCCTAGTATGCTTGAGGTCCCATGTTCAATCCTTAGGGAAGAAATACATAGATATGTGTATCTCTCTATATGTACATGTATATACTCATATAAACATTACATATAGACATATACGTTTGCAAATACGATTTGCACACATTCATATTTATAATACATGTGTGTATATCCACATGCTTACATATATGCAAAATATACACACACAAGTATTTATAATATGCCCATCTGTGAATGTACATACACACGCTGCTCACTAGACACATGCAAATTCATGATATGAGGATAGTACATGCTGCTGTCTTGTCTATTTGTCGGGCTGAATGCTTTATGCCATAGGTTCTCATTTCTATATCACCAGACCATGCTGTGGAATAATCCTTTTGTACACTGTAAAGATTTGCCACTCGAATTGGTTTAATAAACAAGCTGACTGGCCAATAACTGAACAGGGTAAAGTTAGGGGGGAAAGCCAAACTGAGAATGCTGGGTTGAAGAAGGACAGAGCCAGGAGTCGCCAGACAGACAGAGAATGAGTTGAGCACACAAAATGGGATAGAGGTAAAAGCCACGAGCCTCAGGGCAGCACATAGATTAATAGAAATGCGTTAAGTTGTAAGAGCTAGTTAGTAACAAGCTTGAGCTAATGGCCAAACATTTATAATTTATATTAAATCTCCATGTTGGTTACTTGGGAGCAGCTTGTAGGACAGAAACTTCTATCTACAAGACCAGACATGGGCTGGTGTTTAGTGGTGTGTCAAGTATGGGGCTACATCCAGGATTTGTTTTCTTCTTTCTTAGTAGCAGCCCCCAAGTTTATTCCCAGTGAAAACACCTAGCTGAAAGACCACCTTAAACAGCCTCCCTGTGGCAGGGTGTGTCCCATGACTGTTGTTACCCTCTGGTCAGTGAAGAAGGGATGGGGTGGTGGGTAGGGTTGCAGGGCTGGGTGTGGTGATATTGTGTTCCCCAAAATATTGTGCACACGAATAAACTTATCTGGAGTCAGAGAACAGAACAGCCACAAGATATAGAGGCCAGAAAATGGTAGCACACACACCTTTAATCCTAGCATTCCAAAGGCAGAGATCCATCTGGATCTCTGTGAGTTCAAGGACACACTGGAAACAGCCAGGCATGGTGACTCATGCCTTTAATCCCGGGAAGTGATGGCAGAAAGCAGAAAGGTATTTAAGGCGTGAGGACCAGGAACTAGAGCTGGTTAAGCTTTTAGGCTTTTGAGCAGTACAGTTAGTTCAGCTGAGACCCATTTGGATGAGGACTCAGAGGCTTCCAGTCTGAGGAAACAGGATCAGCTGAGGAATTGGCGAGGTGAGGTGGCTGTGGCTTGTTCAGCTTTTCTGATCTTCCAGCATTCACCCCAATACCTGGCCCTGGGTTTGTTTTTTATTAATAAGACTCTTTAAGATTCGTGCTACAGTGGGGGCATTTTCTCGCTTTTCCCCTTTGTTACATAGAATGCAGATTTGTTGGCTGGAACTTCAGTAGTCATGGATTGTTTGGGGGAGGCTACAGAGTATTGAGATAAAACTGTCTTGACTTTCTGGATGACCACTGCCCACCATGGCCATCATCTACATGTTTTATGCAGGACACTCTGCACTCCTGACCCTCCCGCTTCTGCCTCCCGAGTGCTGGGACTGACAGTGTGCATCACAACACCTGCTTTGCCCTGAGCTTAGTCGGACTTTTTCCTGATACATCTGAGTAAGCATGTGTAGGGACTTGCCTAGGGTTTTGTGTGTGTAGTGTGAAGTGGACATTGATGACTGGCCTTGGATGTCACTGTGGACTCATGAAGGGATGTCTAGGGCTGGCAAACACACCTGGATGTCTGGGGAGAAAGCCTTTCAAAGAGGCAAACCGCCTGGATGAGAAACAGGCATAAGGATGGCAGGGGCAGAAGTCTCAGTCTTGCTGACGTCATCTGCCATTGCCCGGTGAGACCAGTTTCTCCAGCCCTTCAAAAGGACCCTAGTGAGTCACTCTCCAGCATCAAACTGAGATGGCTAAGGCGACTGGTTTACTGGATTGGGAAGCTGATCCTCCAGCTCTCAGTGTGCAGACAGCCACCGCTGGACTCCATGGACCCTATTGTGTAAGCAAGTCAATACATCTCTTTTATTACACACACTGTCTCTGGTTCTGTTCCCTCTGAAGAATCCTGCCTACCCAGTGTCTGTTTCCTTCCAAAGGAACTGCATTCCTTTTCATGGTTTTTTTTTTACTACATTTATTTATTCATCTTGCTCTGTGTGTATGCTCATTGTTAGAAATAAGACAATAACAAATTTAAGAGACTAGAGGAAACAGTAGTCTTAAGACTTTATTTTATTATATTGTTTTACTTTATATGAAAATGGATGTTTTACCTGCAAACATCTGTGCACCACATGTATGCAGTGCCTTCAGAGGCCAGAAGAGGGCACCGAGTCCCCTGGAACTGGAGTTACTGATGGCTGTGAGCCACCTTGTGGGTGCTGGAAACAGAACCTGAGTCCTCTAGAGCAGCAAGTGCTCACAACTGCTGAGCCATCACTACAGTCTGTTAGTATAAAATTTTGTAGAAAGGGACGGGAATTGGAATAAAAAAAGGCAGAAATGGTTGGCTGGTGTGGCTTTACGAGTCCCCAGATGGTGAGAAATTCCTGTCCTCTTTTCACACAAAGCTTGGTGCTGGCCCCCTTCCCAAATCCCCCATCTCATTGGTTTAGGACACGAAGCCTTTCTAATAAGTAATATGGGGCTTCTGCTACCCCTTTCTTTCCTGATCGTGAGCTCAGTCACAGAGCAGAGTTCTGAGACAAGCAGGTGCTGTGCGGAGGGGCCAAGGCCTCCTGCTCATCTGTAGCTCTGACGGACTCTTAGCACAGCTCATTCTGAAAGTGCACCATAACCCTCTACTTCTTACCACACGGAGAGGAGAGGACAACCTGTGTGAGTCAGTTCTCTCTTTCTACCGTGTGGGTCCTGGGGATCAAACTCAGGTTGGCAGGCTTGGTGGCAGGCACCTTTACCTGCTGAGCCATCTCACTGGCCCGCACCGGCCTCTCATTGAGTCTTGTCAGTACTAAGGTTGAGAAGCTGTTGCTTAGCATGTGCTTCACATCCTCCGTTTTCTGGGGCCCTGCAACTTGGCCTCGTGGTGACAGCTGTCTGTGCGCACGGCTGCTGGGTCAGGAGCCTTGCTACCTTCCTCCCTGCCATGCTGTCCTCAGCCCTGTGCTTCCTGCTGGCACCTGCAGGAACCGCCTCTGTGCTGGGTGAGTGTCCCTCCAATGCAGCCGTCCTTTGAATGATCAGCTCAAGGACCCCCACGGGTTCCAGAAGCTGCGTATGCTCAAGTCCCTTATAGAAAATGGAATAATTCGATTCAGGGAAATTTTAGTTGATAGATGACACTCATTCACGAGCTTCCACGAGGAGCCATGGAAAGGGGAAGTGTTCATTTGGGGCCCAGAGCTGTCTGGAAGTCAGGTTTCTCCCTCAGTGCATGCATGAGTCTATCTGTGGAAACAAAGATGGTCCGGTTGTCTGGGAATGCTCTGTCTGGACTGTGAACAAAAGACATACAGGCTGGGGATGTGGCTCAGTGGGAAGAATGCCTGCCTAGCATGCACAGGTAGGTCCTGGGTTGTATCTCCATCACCACCACCCCCCCCACACAGAACATACCACATATACATATAACACACATACATATAACACACATCCCACATACCACACAATGCACATATACCATATATATATACATCTTACACATCATACACACCACACATACACATACCATACATACACCACACATACACACACATCATACATACACCACACACTCACACACACACACCACACACACACCACACATACACACATACAACACACCACATACACACATGCCACACCACACACACACACACCACACACACCATACACACACACACACCACACTACATACACACATGCCACATCACACAGACACACACACCACACACACACCACACACATATACCACACCCCCCACACGTCTCTCACACACACAGAGTCACTGAACTTTTATAATAAAACAAAACAAGAAAGAGCTAGACATTGATTCTGAGTCATACATATCACTAAAGGAAACAGTCAATACACATTTTAAAAGGAAAATTGGAACCTCTAATTTGACTGGGAAATTCGAATCCGTTTTTATTTGCTCTGGGCACTAATAATTTGATTGAAAGACAGACTTCAGACCTGGCGCTTGGGCCCAACCCAGAGCCCAGCTGTTGCCAGGGCTCTAACGAGCAGGCTGCCTGTGATGTCTGCTTGCTGCGGGGCGGCTGCAGTGCTTCTGGGGGAGACCTTGGCACAGAGATCTGGTTGCAAGAGTCTCCCAACGGGCTGATTGCCTCAGGTGGAAGAGACCTAGCTCAGACGCGTGACTCCACGGCAGCGCTGGAGGGGAGGAAGCTCATTGACCACGGAGTCTGCTTAGGAATGCGGAGGGGGATGTCTCCCAGGAGGACACCAGCTTTGTGGCTGGCGAGATTTTAATTAGATTCCAAGGGCTCTGGTTTAAGCCTGGAGATCTTGGGTTTGAACAATCAATGAACTCAATCCAAGCATGAAGAGGTCTATGGGAGAGAGGACGACCTGGCAGCCCTGGGTCACCATCCTGCTCGCATGCAGTTGGCTGGAGCCTGGGGGCACCGGGCTGTGAAGAGGAGCTGAGGGCTGGCTCATGTCATGCCAGGCCTAAGCTGAGCAGCTACAGACAAACCAGGGTCTCTGCAGGGTGGGGACAGCGGCACCTGGGTGGTTGAAAAGGAGACCCAGCAAGCCAGCTGGAGGCATCAGAAAGTGTCCGTTTGCGCCTTCCGTGTATTTGTTTATTTTTGGTATTAGCAATGACTTTTTTTTTCACTTTAAAGAATTTTTGAGATTATAATATAATTACAACACTTTCTCCTTCCCTTTCCTCCCCCACACCCTTCCACACACCGCTCCCTGCTCTCTTTCAGATTCACGGCCTCTTTTCTTCATCAATTGTTATAGCACACATGAGTGTACAGACATATATATTTCTAACTCTAACCTGCTCGTCTGTATGTTACTTGTGTGTGTGTTTTCAGGGCTGGTTGTTTGGTGTTGGATAACCAATATGCTCCTCTTTGGTTTCCTCAGTTGCCTGTAGTCCTTTGCCCAGGGCTGTGGCCTCACGGGTTTTCTCCTGTCCAGCTTGGCGTATCTGTTGGTGTCGTCCTTGTTCAGTTCACGTTTGGGAAGACATGCTGGTGAGAGTCCATGGGTGTGTCTTCTGACATTATCCGGAGACACAATCTCACAGCAAACTCCCTGTCCTCTGGCTCCTACAATCTTTCCAGCCCCTCTTCCGTAACGTCCCCTGAGCCTTAGGTGTGGGAGTGTTTTGTAGATGTACCTGTTGGGACTGAGCTCCACAGCTCTGCACTGTGTTTAGCTGATGCATTCAATCCCAGGGCAGCTGTGACAACCGTGTGAATGTGTGGCTTGAAACAATGCTCACATGTGTGCTCTGTCTCAGGGGCCAGGAGAGTGAAAGAAATGGACGCATCAGCAGGATCCCGCAGCTTTGTGTCACTGCATGGGGTCTTTGGTACCTTGGTTTGTAGACATCTCCCTTCAGTTTCTGCTGCCCATCACACAGCCCTGCATCTTCTCTGTGTCTTCCCTCTGTGCACAGCTGTGTTCAAGTTTCCCTTCTCCCTTGTCCCTTCCTCTTCTTCCTCCTCTCCCTTTTCTTTCGTTTGCATGTGGATGTGTAACTGCCCCAGTACTTCATTCATATGGATGTGTAACTGCCCCAGTACTTCATTCATATGGATGTATAACTGCCCCAGTACTTCATTCATATGGCTGTATAACTGCCCCAGTACTTCATTCATATGGATGTATAACTGCCCCAGTACTTCATTCATGTGGATGTATAACTGCCCCAGTACTTCATTCATAACTCTCCTTTCCTTATTGAACTACTTCTATGCCTTCATACAGCACCAACTGAGCCTCTATGCACAGGTCTATTTCTGGATTCTCTGTTCTGTTCCAGGGACACGTCCAGCCTTATGCTTGTGTCAGCTGTCAGTCACTACAGTGTAGAGTAAGCACCATCCGAATGTAGATGTCATACATACAAAATGTTAAATGCTATCATTTTACAAATTCATTCTTCTTCTTCAGCATTGCCTTTTGCTAATTATTTGGGCTTTGCATTCCCATAAAACTTTAAAAATATTTGTTTTCTTTTTATTTCTGAGTGTGCATGTGTGCAGGAGCCCAGAGAAGCCAGAAGAGGGGACTGGATGCCCTGGTGAGGGAGTTACAGGTGGTTGTGAGCTGCAGCGCTGGGTGCTGGGAGCCGAACTTGGGTTCTTTACGAGAACAGTACATGCTCTCAGCCACTGAGCCATGCCTCTAGCCTCCTCCATATAACTTTGAGAATTAGTTTATACATTTTACACAAAAGCCTACCAGGCTTTTGACTGAGATTTATACTAAACCCAAGCTCAACTTTGGTAGAATAATTATCTTAAGGAGACTGTCCATGAACGTGGTATATTGCTGTGATTAAATTTAATTTCCTTCAGAGTTGCTTTTACAGTTTTCTGTGTACCGGTCATTTTGATGTATTTTGTTAAATTTATCCCTAAGTACTTCACATTCTTCTTTAAAAATATTTTATTTTGCCAGGTATGGTGACACACGCCTTTAATACCAGCACTTGGGAGATAATGGCAGGCAGGCCAGCCTGCTCTACAGAGTGAGATCCAGGACAGCCAGGGCTACACAAAGAAACCTTGTCTTGAAAAACAAAACCAACCAACCAACTGAACAAACAAAAACAGAAAAATTTTTTATTTTATTCTTAGTCATGTGTATATATGTGTGTCTGCGTGTGAGTATGTGCTCTTGAATGCAGAGCCAACAGAGGCCAGAAGAAGACGTCAGATCTCCTGGAGCTGGAGTCACAGGATTTAGTGTATGTATGAAAGAACAATGTATAAAATCAGCTCTGGATTCTCAGTCTTAGGGGGCAGGGTGTCCAGGCTGGGACTCTGTGACCACCCACTGTGAGATCTCCCTGGTGTTACATCATGGGATAGGAGGTTGTGAGCACAGAGGTGAGGCTGTGAGCACAGAGGTGAGGCTGTATCCCCAAGGCCTTGTCAGAATCGTGCCCCCTCCCTAGATAACAACTGTGGGGAAGCTAGACACACACATTTGGGTCTTAAAGTACAGATCCCCATGCAAATGAAGGATCCTATTTACACCAATCACAATACAGTTCCTCATGCAAATGAAGGATTGTGACCTGCACCAATCACAAGCCTTCAGCAGCCGTCAGGTGAATGGCTTCCCATTGCTGGGTGAAAATGGCAAGGTTATTTAGAGTTCACAGAGGCTTGTCTGGCTTAGAGAACTGTTTTCCAAGGCGAGGGCAGGCCCCTGGAGTGTGTCTTCAGCTACAGGTGTGACAGTTCTCTGTAGCTGCTGGAGTGACCTCAGAGTAAGTGTAAAGTGTCCAAACACCCAGCAGCACAGGGGTGTCTGCCGGCTGTCAACATAAGGGCTTCTTGGCTGACAGTCCCCACCTCAGGGTTGCCAGGCATCAGTCAGGGAAGGGCCCATCACACAGGACACTCTCTAGAGAATTACTGAGGCGCCATATAGAATTAACAGTTCTCAGGCTGCAGAGATGACTTAGAGATGACTCTTTCAGAGCACCCAGGTTCAAGTCTCAGCATCCATATGAAAGCTCATAACCATCTGTAACTACAGTTTCCAGGGATTCAATGCCTTCTCCTGGCCTCCATGAGCACTACATGTTCATGGTGCACAGACATACATGCAGACAAAACATCCATGCATATAAAATAAAACTGAAATAATAAAAAAAGAATTAACAGTATTTAGTTGGCAGTGTTTAACCTCTGTTCCTCTCTGTCTTAGTGGTACTGGATGCTGGCTTGTGGTTCCCTTGTTTCTCCAAGCTGCTATGCTAAGCTACTGCCTACCTCAGGACAGCACCTGTCTCCACATATCTCCTGTCTCCGCCTCCATCTCTCCTCTGGAGTGCTGGGATTATGTATGAAAGACATTGCGCTGACTTTGTGTGGGGATTGAGTTCTTTTTTTTATTAAGAAAATTTTTTCATTCATTTTACACACCAAAGATCCCCCTCTTCCCTCCTTCCGCCCCCCAGCTTCCCCCTCCCAACCCACCCCCTACTACCCCCAAAGAAGGCAATGCCTCCCATGGGGAGGCACATCCAGTAGAGGCCCAAGCCCTTCCCCTGCCTCAAGGCTGCACGAGGTGTCCCATCATAGGTAGTGGGCTCCAAAAAGCCCCCTCATGCATCAGGGATGGATTCTGATTCTACCGCCAGGGGGCCCCTGAAGCAGATCAAGCTACACAATTGTCTTGCCATGCAGAGGGCCTAGTCCAGTCCCACGCAGGCTCCACAGCTGTTGATCCAACTTGCATGAGTTCCCACGAGTTTGGTTTGGTCGTCTCTGTAGGTTTCCCCATCATGATCCTGATGCCCTTGCTCATAGAATCCCTCTTCTCTCTCTTTGACTGGACTCCTGGAGCTCTGTCTGGTGATTGGCTGTGGATCTCTGCATCTGCTTCCATCAGTCATTGGAGAAAAGCTCTGTGATGACAGTTAGGATATTCACCGATCTGATTACTGGGGTAAGCCAGTTCAGTTCAGGCACCCTCTCCACTATTTCTAGTAGTCAAAGCTGGGGTCATCCTTGGGGATTCCTGGCAACTTCCCTAGCACCGAGTTTCTCTCTATCCCCATGATGTCTCTCTCTATCATGGTATCTCTTTCATTGCACTCCCCCTCCCTCCCTGTTCCAGCTCAACCATCCCATTCCCTTATGTTCTCATCTCTCACCCCATACCCTCCATTGCCCATTCCTCATCCCCACTTTACTCATGGAGATCTCATCTATTTCCCCTTCCCAGGGTGATCCACTCATCCCTCTTTGGGTCTTCCTTGTTAGCTAGCTTCTCTGGGGTTGTGGGTTGTTATCTGAGTAAAAGAACAGGAAACACAGATGTAAAACAAAGGGGGATTGAATTCTTGTCAGGTTTATGTGGTAATAATGTTACCTGTGGATTTATCTTACTGGCTCCTTTTAGATTATTTAGTGTGTGTGTGTGTGTGTGTGTGTGTGTGTGTGTGTGTGTGTGTGTGTGTCTGTTGTGTGTGTGTCCCACTGAGTTTAATTGTATGAGCATGGGTGGGAAGTTATTAACTGGAGCATGGACACCCCCACCTCTCTGGTGGCTAAAACACTGGAGGAAATGACCCCCACCCTCCCCAGCAACCATTAACCACCAATGGGTCCTTTGTGCTGCTGTTTGGTTTTGGTTTTAATCTGGCTGTGACAGAGAAAATTCTAGTTACCAAGTTCTCCACAGTAGTTCTTCATAAGAAAGCTAATGCGAAGGTCTAATGCCATGATTCCAGGGGCCCCGTGAACAAACAGCTGTGGCAGTAAGGGTCCCTTAGCCAGGGCTCAAGAAAGACACGGCACTTTGGAGAAGGGGCCCCGCGCCTCCATTTTGCAATGGATATATTTTGATATATTTTGTATTTGGCCTTGCTTTGAGGAATTGGCAGAGCAGATTCACCAGGAGGCAGGGACCAAGCTGTGTGGACAAAGCTCTGTCTTCATCCACCCTCCACCTCCAACAGCAGTGAAGGTGGACTGAGGGCCCAGCTGGTGAGCCCTCTCTGCCCTCCACTAGGGAGCAATGACCCCGAGTGATTGGGGACCTGCACCCATGCTTTTGCTCTTGAACAGGGATGAGCACAGGTGCCAGCAGTGAACTTTGGTCTCCTTTTTTATTGCTTTTCTCATTAGAGAGAAAATCAAAGCATGAGACCTGGGGTTGAAGGTCAGCTATGTGAAGGAAAGCTTTGCCCAGAGAAAAGGAGAATTGAGCCAATACTGTCTCAGCTGGCCTTTGTCTAGTGAGTCTGTGGCAGCCTACTCTTGCTTCTGTCTCTGAGTGAGTGAGGTCCAGGGCTCATATATACATATATATTACGTGTGTGTGTGTGTGTGTGTGTGCGCGCGCGCGCGCTCCAGTTTGCTCCAAAGATCCCCTGTCTCTGTCTGGGATTGCAGGAGGCTACCATACCTACCTGGCATTTTATGTGGATTCTGGGGATCCAAAGTCCAGTCCTTTCAAAGCAAACACCTTGCCCGCTGAACTATCTCCTTAGTCCCCTCGTGTGTGTGTGTGTGTGAGAGAGAGAGAGAGAGACACACACACACACACAGAGACACAGAGAGACAGAGACAGAGAGACAGAGAGACAGACAGGCAGACAGGCAGACAGACAGAGGGAGACTTGGTAACTTTATTGTGCACACCTTTAATCCCAGCACTTGGGAGGCAGAGATAGGCAGAACTCTGAGTTGCAGCCAGCCTGGTCTACAGAGTAAGTTCTAGCACAGCCAAGGCAGTTACACAGGGAAACCCAACTTGGTTTTCAAAACCAACCAACCAACCAACCAACCAACCAACCAACCAACCAACTAACCAACCAACTAACCAACCAGACAATGTTTTCCTACTATTATTACTCCTCAGCATGTAAAAATAACAAACACTGCACCAAGTCATTAGTTGAATGGCTTCCATATAGGAGCTAGGAGTTCACCCAGATGCCAGCATCCCTCTGGGTAGGGCGTGGGTGGGTCCTGTGATCCCAGGGGACCAGCAAAGCAAAGTGCTCTGAGCACTTACCAGATGAACAGACTTCAATATGCAAATCAAGACTCACTGTAGGGGCTGGAGAGAGAGGGCTCAGTGGTTAAGAGCACTGGCTGCTCCTCCAGAGGACCAGGGTTCAATTCCCAGCACCCAAATGGTGGCTCACAGCTGTCTGTGACTCCAATTCCAGGGAACCCGACACCTTCACACAGATGTACATGCAGGCAAAACACCAATGCACATAAAATTTAAAAAAATAAAAGGCTCACTGTGGGTGGCTAGGGTGTGGCCGGGTGAGCGGCGGAGGGGCTGTAGTGGGACAAATTTGTTTTCCCGTGATAGCATCCCTGTCTCCCAGGAAAGTTGTTTGGGCCAGAATCCTGAGTCTCCTCTGGACATGCCTGTGCCTGTGTCGTGACGGAGAGTGACTCCCAGGCACAGAACCCACGTTCCCGGGTGCAGTTCAGTCAGAGGCCCCCTTGTTTCCTTTGATCTTACATGTTGGCCTCACACTGGCAGGTGTGGCACCCCTAAAGTGACCCTGTAACATTGGATGAACACATCCCGACAGCCATGCTTTTCTGCGAACTCCGGTTGCAGCAGGGGGGGACTCTTCCGAGCTTGAAGTAACCTCATCCATCAGCTGTCTCTTCCCACATTGGCCTCTCCACCTATACCATTGCCACTGGGGGGACCTCCTCCAGACTGCTCTCCTCCACCCCCCACTTGGGGGACCTCCTCCAGCCTGCCCTCCTCCATCCCCAACTTGGGGGACCTCCTCTAGCCCGCCCTCCCACTGACAATGTTTACAGGGCACGACTATAGAGCCTTTACTTTAAAAGTACCCTTAAACCAGAGGCTGGGAAGATGGAGGACTCGCCACACCAGTGTGATGACCTAAGCTTGATTCCCAGAACCCACTTAAAAAGCCTCATGCCCTTGTAATCCCAGCACCGGGGAGACCAAGGCAGGAGGACCTGTGGGGCTCACTAGCCAGGCAGCAAGGCCTCTTGGGGAGCCTTGGGTCCCAGTGTGAGGCTCTGTCTCCAAAAGGTGAACAGTCCTTCAGAAGGACACCTGAGGTTGACCTCTGACCTCTGACACACACATGCACAAAATCTTCAAGGCAAGAATGGTGGTACAAGCTTGTAATTCATTACCAGGGAGGCGGAGACGGGAGCGCACAAGCTTGTAATTCATTGCCAGGGAGGCAGAGATGGGAGCGCACAAGCTTGAGGCCAGACACGTGGCACTGGTTTGCTTTATGGTCAAGTATGGGAACATGTTCTGTGAATACACAAAGACTTTTTCTATTCTAGATTTGACTGGGGACCTGGGTCAGTGGATAAAACCCTTGTCACTCCAGTGTGAGAAGCGGAGCACACACTCCCCAGTCGAGCTGTTGTGATGGCCACCTGAGGTCCCAGCACTCAGGAGGTGGAGACGGGATCCCCCGAGCATGCTGGGGATCTAGGCTACTTGAATCAGCAGCTCTGGGTTCAATAGAGAATTCTTGTCTCAATATGAAGTACAGCATGATGGAGAAAGACACCTGACATCAACTTGGACTCCCACAGGCAGGCACACACATGTGCATGCATTCCTGTACACACACGTTTGCTCTCCACACATGTTAACATGTATCCACACAACATACGTTTCTTAGGGTTATTATTGCTGTGATGAAGCACCATGACCAAAAAAACTTGTGGAGGGAAGGGTCTATTAGGCTTCCACTTCCACATCACTGAAGGAAGTCAGGACAGGAACCCAAACAGGGCGGATCCTGGAGGCAGGAGCTGAGGCAGAGGCCATGGAGGGGTGCTGCTTACTGGCTTGCTTTCATGGCTTTGCTCAGTCTGCTTGCTTAAAGAACTGAGGACCACCAACCCAGGGATGGCACCACCCACCATGGGCTGGGCCCTCCCCCATCAGTCACTAATTAAGAAAATGCTCTACAGCTGGTTCTTACGGAGCACATCTTAGGGTTTCTATTTCTGTGAAAAGACACCATGACCACGGCAACTCTTATAAGAAAAACATTTAATTGGGCTGGCTCACTTAAAGTTCAGAGGTTCTTATCATCATGGTGGGGATTATGGCAGCGTGCAGGCAGACATGGTGGTTCTGGAGAAGGAGCTGCTACATGATGATATGCAGGCAACAGGAAGTAGACTGTCTCACTGGGAGTAGCTTGAGCACAGGAGACCTCAAAGCCCACTCCAACAGTGACACACTTCCTCCAACAAGGCCACACCTCTTAACAGTGCCACTCCTTTTGGGGGTCATTTTCTTTCAAACTACCACAAGGCGTTTTCTCAATTGAGGTTCCTGAAAGGATGGACAGTGCTGGTGGGTCGGTGGGCGCTGTGGAAAAGTTACGAGCCACAGCTACGACTACCAGGGTTAGAAAGAGCGTTATTAGACAGAAACCAGACCTGGAGAGACAGAAAGATGGCAGGAGCAGAGCAGAGAGGAAACAGAAAGAGAGAAGCGCAGAGAGAGAGCGTGGGGGTCGATGTCGGCTTTTTAAGGAGGTACGTAGTTGCCTGCTGATGACGTAAGGTGCCAGACAAGACCCGGAGCTGCGCATGTACAGAATCCTAACATTTCCCTCTTTTCAGATAACTCTGGTGTCAAGTTGATGTAAGGCCAGCCAGCACAACATGTACACATGCAGAAAAAAAAGTCTAGATTTATTTCTATTGAATATACAGATGTTAATTGCATTTTGTTGTACATACAGGTTACATATCAGAAATGCCTGGACCAGAACTGGTTTGAATTTTTGACTTGGGGAATATTCGTATGTAACAATGAGGCATTTTGGGAATAGAGAGAACCCTTCTAAATGGGGAATTTATGTGTGTGTCATAATTTATATGTGTTTCATACATACACAAACTGAAGGTAATTCTCTAGAGTATTTCATACAGGTTTTGAATTTTTTA